CGCTCGCCTTCTACCTACTCTAATGAAAGCTTTCACCTGATCCGAGTTGCTTCGGGTTACAAGTTATTCCTCTTTGCACGATATTAATGTAATTCCGGCATTTGTGGAACCAAAAGGTTTCATCTGATAAAACGTTGAGTGCATGTCAAAGTGTGAGCTTTCCACAGACTCTACAGACGCAATTGCAGAAGTATGATGATGAAAAATACACATTGAAGGGAATTAATAAAAACTGGTGCAAAAAGAATCTGGAGCAGTTGCCTATGGCAACCAATCAGCTTCTCTCTTCAGTTTGCTCAGGTAAGATTTGAAAATGAAAGAGAGAAGCTGATTGGTTGCAGTGCAAATCTGCTCCAGATTTTGTCATCTCCAGTTTTGATGGATTCCCCCCATTGTATCTAAATGAAGACAAACAAGATTGACACTGATACATGTGATCCAGCCTGATGACATTAAAGAGATACATCATTACATCTGCAGATCTTAGAAGATGTGATCCTTCCGCCAAACTATGGATATTACAGACACCTAACAGTCACAGGCTGCAATCCCTTCATCCTATAATGTTGTATATTGAGTATCCATGCAATCTTCAAGGAGGTTGTGGAGCTCCTCGGCATGGACAGGGTGCAAAGGGCTGAAGGTCCTAAGAGATGACCTTAAAGACCAGCAATGCGGAGTGTAAACGGGATGTACTAATAATACAAGGGCCACAAATAGGCATCAGGGAATGCGACGACCAGATCAGGCATTCTCCAGCTATACTGGGACCCCAGATCAGGCGTCCTCCAGCTATACTGGGACCCCAGATCAGGCGTCCTCCAGCTATACTGGGACCCCAGATCAGGCGTCCTCCAGCTATACTGGGACCCCAGATCAGGCGTCCTCCAGCTATACTGGGACCCCAGATCAGGCGTCCTCCAGCTATACTGGGACCCCAGATCAGGCGTCCTCCAGCTATACTGGGACCCCAGATCAGGCGTCCTCCAGCTATACTGGGACCCCAGATCAGGCGTCCTCCAGCTATACTGGGACCCCAGATCAGGCGTCCTCCAGCTATACTGGGACCCCAGATCAGGCGTCCTCCAGCTATACTGGGACCCCAGATCAGGCGTCCTCCAGCTATACTGGGACCCCAGATCAGGCGTCCTCCAGCTATACTGGGACCCCAGATCAGGCGTCCTCCAGCTATACTGGGACCCCAGATCAGGCGTCCTCCAGCTATACTGGGACCCCAGATCAGGCGTCCTCCAGCTATACTGGGACCCCAGATCAGGCGTCCTCCAGCTATACTGGGACCCCAGATCAGGCGTCCTCCAGCTATACTGGGACCCCAGATCAGGCGTCCTCCAGCTATACTGGGACCCCAGATCAGGCGTCCTCCAGCTATACTGGGACCCCAGATCAGGCGTCCTCCAGCTATACTGGGACCCCAGATCAGGCGTCCTCCAGCTATACTGGGACCCCAGATCAGGCGTCCTCCAGCTATACTGGGACCCCAGATCAGGCGTCCTCCAGCTATACTGGGACCCCAGATCAGGCGTCCTCCAGCTATACTGGGACCCCAGATCAGGCATTCTCCAGCAATACTGGGACCCCCCCACCCTACCTTACAGGCAGGGATTTTGTTAATGAAAAAAATCCTTCATTTATTCAATGCTTCCACAAATCTGACACATAAAGGATGTCAAAATATCTTACACATAAAATACAGATATCAAACAAAATGCTACATATAAAAGGATGTCATCAATGAACTGGGATTTCACCGACACGGGGCGGCACATTGTAAAAAGCAGCGATTATCTCTGACAAAGTCGGCGACTTAATTTCAGCTTTTCTCATCTGAAAACGCATCGGACGCGCATGCTACACAATCATTGACAAAGGGCGCTGGAAGCCCCGGCATCGTATTATTTCTATCCGTAGGCTTGTTAAAAGGGGAAGAGGATTCTGGAAAGCTGACCCCGAAGGCTGAAAATGTATTGCAGCACTGCGTCGGTAATAAGAGGCAGCCCCGGGTATCAGGGGATCATTCTAGGAATAATCCGACCTGCCAGATGCCAAGTACAGCCGCCTTCTAGGATCCGGGTGCCACCATAGAATTTTGAGTATTTGCTGACATTAGGGGATCCCCATACAATATCAGGAGGGTGTCAGAGGGCTCCTGGGAGAACGGAATATGCCCTCCGTGTGGTAGGACATTTCTTGGTGCCACCGCTGGGCACAATATCACAAATATCTCAGAATGCAATATGCCAATATGACTGGCATCACATCAATGACCAGCCGTCTCTGAGCAGGCTTAGCATCATGCGGTACTGGGTGCACACAGGCTGTTTATACCCTCTAACCCCCAGAAAAGGATTAACCCTTAAAACTATATAAACAAAGGGGATTAATCCGACCTGTCAGACCTCTGAATGGGCATCTCGGCCCAGATAATGGCATCACATGTGTGCAACATATACGCTAATACAGCAAATGTTAAGTTTGGATTCTACTACCCTTACAGGGGCCACAACCAGGACCACCTGGGAGACAGCCCATTCCCATC